AGCTTGCCTGCTAACTAACCAACTAAACCAGCTATGATATATAGATGGCATCATAAAACCCAAGTTCAATATACAGTAGAAAAAACAAATACTGTACATAGATTTTTTTAATATCAGATATAATTAAAAGATATAAAATATTATAATTTAATATAATTTTTGACTATGATTACAATAAGAGAGAATACGAAGAGGAGTTTTGAAAAGAAAATGGCTTAAGACTGCAGTGGCTTCTGGGTAAGTTCTGCTCCTGAAGTCTTCATCCTTCATCCTTCATCTAACACTCATCTAGCAAACTTCATTCAAGCTAATTACGATGGCGATTGGGAGTTTCCTCAAGAGGAAATGGCTAGAGCGTTTTATTGGAAAGCTGGGCTTGAAAAAGCCTGAAGTGGAGAGAGGGAGTCAGGGATAGTGATGGATGGGGGATGTCAGAAGGAGAAAGGAGATAATAGAAAAGCTGAAGATGGATCTCTGTACATTTGGGCAAACATTACAACCCAATTATAAATGAGCTCTAGAGGTGTGAAGATGGCTTTTGTTTTTCTTAGTTGTACCACAAATGTCAGTTTTGAGTATTCATTCTGCACAATTTCATGTTTTCTCATTTCAACCTAACGAAGGGCTTGTTAATTAGCCAGAGTTGAGTCAGGTGGTAGAGCAGGGAAAACACTAACACACTGCACACCAGGGGCTTATTCCCTTTCAGTGCCTGGGAAACACTAATCTGGTTCTTTTTTTCCTGCCTGATATGGTCTACACAGAGAAAGGAAACCCGCTGTGGTCCAATTAGACCAAAGAAACTCGGAAACTCCTCTCTCTCTCTTTCTATCTATTGCTCTTTCTCTCTCTTATACACCATTCAGCCGGGACACATTTGGGTTATTTATTAATTGCATCCTTATGAGAGCACAATACAAATGGAAATATTGCAATAATGATTTACAAATAATATACTGCACAGCACTAAAGAAGACTATCTAATCAATCTCAGAATACACATCAGGAGCAGTACCACGTTGGCTCATTTTCCTCCCAATTGGTCTTTTTAAATCACATTTGGATTGAAAAACAAAATGTCCTTGGGATGTTAGATAGAAATTATGATGCAAAGTCACAATCTGAAGCAAGATATAAACTCTGATTAGGCTTGAAACAATCAGGCCAGTATAATGACTAACATCACACAGAACATTATAACATTTATGCATTAATTTATCAGCCTGAGTGTAAAGATGCTTGGTTTTGTTTGGATATATTTGAGACCATATAGTTTGGAAAGGAATGCTGTCTGAAAAACTACCACTAATACTACTACAACTACTATTAAAACTGTAAATACTACTACTACTACTACTACTGCTACTACTACTACTACTTGGGAAGAGCTGGCACATTAGTAACACGTTTATTTTCTTAAATTTTTTTCTTTGACTTTATCCAACTTTATCCATTGATTTACACCCGTATACAGTGCATTACTTCTCAGTTTGAGAAAATTGTAGAGAAAAAGTGTCATTTGTCCACTCTTGCTGGAGATATTTGGGGGAAAAAAAAAATTTGTGCCAGGAAATTAAAATTATTATTATTATTATTATTATTATTATTATTATTATCTGCGTAGTTGTGTAGACTTGGGTCTACACTATCGGCTAGCCTAGTATTCATAGTTTGGGTTAGGGTTTCATAGTTAGGGTTTCAGACTGCTAAGAGTAGAGAAAGGTGGCAGCACTGAGACTACTATTACCTACTACTACTACTACTAGTACTACTAAATAATAATAATAAGAAGAAGAAGAAGAATGTTGTTGATTAAAAGTCTTGGTGTAAATCTGTTACCTGCCCACATGATCAGGACCACTACTATGATGATCAGCTCTCCGGCCCTCAGCTGCGCAGCCTGGCCAACCTCCTTCATTGTCACCTCATCTGACAGGACACACAAAGGCATACACATGCTTACGAAGAGAAAGATAAAGGAAACACAGTTGGTACTGTATTTTAGCAAGCATGACACATAATATGGCTAAGTTCTAAAGGTTACCTAGGAATAGTTTTTGGCTTGTACAGTATGTTTTAAAAGGGAAAGTTTTTTTAATCATCAGCCAGATGTGAAGTAAGTGATAGCTATACTGTGTTGACTAATGAGATGACTAATGCATATTTGAGGACTTTGATCAGGAGCTGTGATCAGCCACTGGAAATTGAAGGTTTCTTTCAGGACATGGTTCTCCCCTTCCTGTCTGCTATCAGGAGACCATCCTTCTTGGCAGCAGATGTAAAGCGCCTGGTGGTAATTAAGATCATTTGTGAATTCCCTATTTGTGTTAGCCTCTGATGAGCCCTGGAGGACAGGCCAGCTGGATTGATGGAACAGCTCGTAACGAAGGAACACTCTTATCACTTACAGCTAAAGCAGAAAAGTTATCAATTTCTTCATGCTTCTGAAGCTGTGCATTTTTTTATCTGCCTGTCAATGCGGATGCATGTCATAAGCCCCAAACAAAAAGCAACATGAAGCCACTTCACCTTGAAACAGGAGGCGTATGGTGAAAAAGATTAACTGTCCGCGCTCATTAGCCACCCTCGAGCTATTTGAAATGAAGTGAAGCGGAAGACTGCTTGCTCGATTAACTGGAGAGCAACTCAAGTGCTAATGGATGATTATGGAACAGTGTTTTTAGTAAACGCCTGCCTGTCACCATTGACTTATTGCATCAAAAGAGTGTAAACTAGCTGTACATTTTCTCAGTTTACTATAATTTCTGTATAATTCGATGTACATTTCTGCTTCAGTCAAGAAAAGCAACAGTTTTCTGCAACTTTAAAATCGTTTCCATCAACTATCACATATGCAAATGCTAATGACTTAACTCATTATGATCAACATAACACAGCTGCTTATGTACACAGTCAATGTTGTAATTAATTTTGAAAGGAGCAATCAACGTGTCACTTGTTCCTCTATTATGCTGCCTACAGAAAATGTTCTTTTTTTTTTTTTCTTTTTTTGCCTGTTCACTTGGACTTGAGAAGTTCTCCTGAAGCCTCAACCATTTTGTATGACTCATAGTAAAAGGTTTTAAGAAAAGAACATTGGGTCATTCTCAGAAATGGATGTGGGAGTCAAAAGAAACGTTGCACATTCTCAGACATTTCGTGGTAAAAAGGTGCTGGCACCATATCTTCATTCGAGCATTTCTACCTTACTATAATGGTTTTGCATCATTCTCTAGCACCTCACCTCTACCTGAAATATCAGCACCAATGTATAATAAAATGGTTGCCACAAGTTTATATGAATATGTCGGTCACTAAATGGATTTTAAAACATCAACCTGGAAATATTGTGGGTTGTGTAGAGAAGGCAGTCTGTCCTGCAATAAAGTCTGACATTTTCACTTTGAATTAGAGTGTATTTTTAGAGTAGCTGTATAATGGCCAACCTGCTGTGTTTATGCATGAATCAATGTTAATGATCAGGCTGCAAACCATTTTCTAGCCCGCTTTTCATCATATTCTGACCCGTGCCTCAGTTTTTAATGGTCAATATCGTATGTCTGGCATCTATGGACTTAAATCCATAGAACATAGTACTTAAGTATATATTTGGAGTATTTGTACTTGATTATTTTTGAAGACTTTAGACTTCACTAGCTGTGTATATTTATAGTTTAAGTCAACTGCAAGAAAAAGCTCCAATCATTAACTTTTAGATTTTATACTTAAGCAAATTTAAGTCTAAATATATGGCTGGAATTTAGGATATTAAATTTGCTTATCGCAATTTATACAGTATGTCTGCCACAAATAAACATGCGTCTGTAAGAAATATACCTCCTCACACGGGGCACCAGAAATGCAGGTGCTTTGCCTTACATAGACCAATAATATGGATTTTGCACTGTAAATCTACTGCATGTTTTTGGGAGATGGGAGGAAACCAGACACCCTGAAGAAAACCCAAATTATACATATAACATTTATATTTACTTTTAAGCCTTAAACACAGTTTAGTACTTGTCCATTAGTTCAAGCAGATGTGTAGTTTTTGGACACGCAGCATAACAGTAACAATATATTTATTGGTCTATGTAATATATATTTCTTCTTTGAACTCAAGTGAAGGATCTGTGCTTCCTCCACCACTTTGCCAATAAAGAAGTTCTGAAAGAGGAAGGGGTTAAGACATTATATTGGAAAACACTGGGACTGTTTATCTTCGACTTACCAGGACTTTTGGAGGCCATTTTTTCAGACTCTTTTGGTGTGCGGAAGAGGACAGGGTCACTGGGAGGGCTTGTGCCACTCATGCTGATGGACTGCACATGGACAATATACTCTGTATCAGCCTCCAAATCCCATAATGCACACGAGCGAGTGGTAGTGTTCACTTCCTGGATGAAGCGCATCATGCGCACATCCTTCTTCTGAAATAAACAAGACAAGCAGACAGAAATGTGAGAGGCCCAGGTACTGCAAAAATATGTTGCAAGAATGTGAAAAATAATATTTATCAGTACCAAAGTATCATTTTAGATAGTGGTCTTACTCAAATATTCCTTTTGAAAATCACCATAAGTCCACATAGGTCATGTGTTATCTTCAAATGGCACAGTGAATTATAGTATTTAATTTTTTTAAATGTATTTTGTTATGATAGTTGGACACAATCTATTACAGTGCATTGTGGAATTTCATGAATGCGCTGTATATTTTCCACTTGGCACAGATCCAAAACTCTATAGTGGACTGGAATCAATTTTGCACACTGGGATAACTCTCCAGATCACTCTTTGTATTGATAACATATGTTGTTGTTCTTCTTCTTTCGACTGCTCCCATTAGGGGTTGTCTAAGGATCATTGGTCTGCGTATTTGATTTGGCACAGTTTTTATGTCGGATGCCCTTCCTTACGCAACCCTCCCCAATTTTTATCCGGGCTTGGGACGGGCACTGAGAGCACACTGTTGCACACAACCCTAGTAGCTGGGGCTGGTTCCCTGGCTGGGAATCGAACCCGGGCTGCAGCGGTGAGAGAGCATGTGGCCTAACCACTAGTCCTCCAGGGACCCTCATTGTATAGATAACATATAATCCAGTAATATTTTTGACAACAGGATCTGCTTCATGACTCGGAAATGTGTATAACCTATCACAAAAAGTGGCCATATGAAGGAAAACAGGAACTTAGTGTAGTGTGGAACAGAGTTTTCAAAAGCAATGCTAGCCCTTGGTAATTAGTATTGCAGTGCCTTCACCATCTTGAACTTTTCCACATCTTGTAGTGTTACAACCTGGAATTGAATTGGACTTAAGTTCAATTCAATTCAATTCATTTTTATTTGTATAGCGCTTTTTTACAAAGGTCATTGTCTCAAAGCAGCTTTACACAAACAAAGTAAAATGAAGTGTGTGTGTGTGATGTCTCTGATGAGCAAGCAGGGCGACGGTGGCAAGGAAAAACTCCCTGAGATGGTGATAGGAAGAAACCTTGAGAGGAACCAGACTCAGCAG